CTGATGGGGGATTTAAACTCCTGACATCTGGCAACCGCAAGCATTCGAGTTTCTCTAGTTATTATTATATTGCACAGCACTTTGGTCAACCTTGGTTGTTTATAAATGTGTTTAATAAATAAACATTGAACAATTTTATTAGGTATCGTTTTTCATCAAAAAAGGTCATTAAATGAAGTTTTCGTGTTAATGAATTTAACACTATTTGCATTACAGTAGCGAGTGAGAACGGAGGGGAAAATGTGTGTGACGGTCATGAAGACGATGTCAAAAATGCATCTTTTTTTGTAACAGTAAATATGAAGCGTTTCTGGACAAACGTGTTGTTTTTAGGCAGGATGAATCTGCTGTGGCGTGAACGGATCTGCGGGAAAACTCACAGATGAGCACTAATCTGACATTCACGAACACAGCGAGCGCTTCGGTCTTACCTTCACTGCCGTCCGAATCTGTGTGTTTCAGAGAAGTGAACGACATCATGAGAGAAATGACAAAACACTCATCAGTGCTGATCAGAGCGGAGCAGGGAGAATAAATGAGCAGTGTTGGGACTGAAGGGACACGGTGTGGTGGGTCTCACGGGTCGGGTTTGGAGGATTTAAGGATGTTCTGACGGTCGGATCATGTGTGTTTCTCCTTACCTTCAAGCGCGGGAAGCACGAGACGGATTTGCGCTTGAGAGACAAAGTGATTGAGGAGGTCAGATTAAGTACTAACACACTGATCTGAGCTGGTCTGTGCTGGTTTAGTGCGGTTTATACCTGTGAGGGAGTGCTGGTTAACTCCATCTTCTCCTGAGATCTCTCTTTGGCTAACCGCGCCGCCTCTTTGAACTCCGCAAACTTGTCAGCAAACTGCAGAGAGAGAAACCAGCACGGTGTCAGGAGACGAGGGTGTGATCTGAGAGAGGCTCACGCTCTGGTCCGGACTCACTTTGCTCAGATGGGCCTCGGAGGAGAAGCCCAGGCCGTAGACCGTGTTAGCCCGACTGTCTGCCCACTGACCGAACTTGTGTGAGGTTTTGGTGAAGCTCATGTTGGGGGTGATGGTGCTGTTGATGATGGCCTGCAGGAAACACCAGGTCAGCCTGACATCAGATCAGTGCTGGAGACACTACAGGCTTCTAAAGGCACACTTAAGACATTCCGATGAGAAAACAAGGAAGAAACGGAAGGAGACGCAAAGAAATTCACCAAAATCAAAGGCAGTTATGATTAAAACAAGAACACATTTCTGCCAACTGGCTCAGAAAAATACGATTAATTCAAAGTATTGACAGATTTCCAACTTTTGATCAATTTCTCAGAAAACGAGACTTTTGTTCATTTCACATCTTCAGTAAATGTCTCTTAATACAAGCACGTTTAGATATTTGTGCTGGGAAAATACTGAGGAAGATGCTTATTTTTGCAGTGCATGCAACATTGCATGCGACTTTCTGCTCTGATTTAATTTGTGGAAGGTGCGTCACGAGCAAGGCTTCATGAGTTGATGAAAAGCTAGTGAATATTCATGAAAATGTTAAAATACCTGCGTGTCACGTGACTATCAAAGAACCGTGAATATGTCGTTAAATTATCGGGTGACACTTTACAGTGAGGTTTCGATTGTTAACTACACTGAAAACTATCTTCAGTCTTACATTTATAGTAAATTACAGAAATGACGAGTAACGTACTGAATAAAACTGAAAAAGTATTTTTCCAGTAAAACGTACACAAATCATTTTTAAGGTATATATATTTTTTTTTAAACCGATAGTATTTGTTAAAATTAATGCATTGTGAACTAACATTAGCAAACAATAAACTGTATTTTATGTGTGTCCCTGCAGCACAAAAGCAGTGTTGAGTCGCTGGGGGATATTTGTAGCAATAGCCAACAATACATTGTATGGCTCACAATTATACATTTCTCTTTTATGCCAAAAATCATTAGGATATTAAGTAAAGATCATGTTCCATGAAGATATTTTGTACATGTCCTACCGTAAATATATCAAAACTTAATGTTTGATTAGTAATATGCATTGCTAAGAACTTCATTTGAACAACTTTAAAGATGATTTTCTCAATATTTAGATTTTTTTGCACCCTCAGATTCCAGATTTTCAAAGATTGTCCGATCCTAACAAACCATACATCAATGGAAAGCTTATTTATTCAGCTTTCAGATGATGCATACATCTCAATTTCACAAAATTGACCCTTATGACTGGTTTTGTGCTCCAGGGCCACAAATGCTGTAAAATATATATTTCTCATAGTTAGTTAAGTTAACTAATGCATTAAAGCGATGCTTTGATCATTCTCTCATCATTTACTCTTCCTCGCGTCTTTCCAAACCTGCACGAGTTTCGTTCCTCAGCTGAACACAAATAAAGATATAAAAGAACGTGGGCAGCTGACGGTAGCCATTGACTTCTATAGTATTTGTTCGCATGCTATGTAATCAATGGCCAGCAGCAGCTGTTTGGCTCCCAGCATTCTTCAAAGTATCTTCTATATTCAGCAGAAGAAAGAAACTCAGAGTAAATGATGACACAATGATCGTTCTCAGGTGAGCTGTCGCTGTGATGTTAACAAACGGGACTTAATCATTGGAATCTCATGAGGACTAATATTTCATGTCAGCGGGGTTGGGCTGACCTTTGACCCGTCGAGGCTGATGATGCGGTACACGGTGCGTGTGCTGTCGTAGAAGTAGGACACGGTGACAGCGTGTTTGCTGGTGGGAACCCAGTTCTTCTTGGTGCTGGGGTCGATCTGGAAGACGTGCGCTCTGGTGCTGAAGATGGGCTGCTCTCTGCAGGAGACACAGACACACAGCTGCAGTGCATGATGGGATATAATCCCCCGTCACATCAGCTGAGCAGATCCGCACCAATCCGTGCTCAGATTAGGACTCGTGCTGGATTATACAGGATATTAACGCGTTGCTTTAGTCCAGGACTAGAGTTAATCTGTGTCTAAGAGCCGCGGGTTAGTTATCGGTTCATCTGCCAGATCATCGGACGCATGCAAAGCAAAGCCAGCTTCCCTGTTCCTCTGTGTTCAGAACATCTTATCTCACTCCCGGTTAATCACAGTCACAGAGGTCAGAGGTCACGCTCACACAGACAGATGCGGCTCACAGCTGCTGATCCGAGCTCTTCACACCATCATCCCTGGAGCTTCATCTGCTGCTTGTGGCTTCGCTTTCGCTGGATTTGACTGCAGACGGAACGAGCTGAATGTGTGTTAATGAACCGCACACACTCTCATTCAGCCGGTAATTAATCACATTCTCGCTGAGAACGGAAGCGGATCTGTGGGGATCAGCTGAGAGACGATCATCTGAATCACGAGAGAGGACAGTTATGTGCTTACTTTAAACAGTCAGTTCATCCAAAATCATCATGCACTCGGCCTCAAGCCTGTATGAGCTTCTTTCTTCTGTTGATGAATGTGTGCTAATAAACTGTTTCTGTGTGTTTGTGTGTGAGTGTGTGTGTGAGTGTGTGTCTGTGTGAGTGAGAGTGTGTGTGTCTGTGTGTGAGTGTGTCTGTGTCTGTGTGTGTGTGTGTGTGTGTGTGTGTGCATGTCTGTGTGTGTGCGTGTCTGTGTGTGTGTGTGTGAGTGAGTGCATGTCTGTGTGTGTGTGCGTGTCTGTGTGTGTGTGTGTGAGTGTGTGTGTGTGTGTGTGTCTGTGTGTGTGTGTGTGTGTGTGTGTCTGTGTGAGTGTGTCTGTGTGTGTGTGTGTGTGTGTGTGTCTGTGTGAGTGTGTCTGTGTGTGTGTGTGTGTGTGTGTGTCTGTGTGAGTGTGTCTGTGTGTGTGTGTGTGTGTGTGTGTCTGTGTGAGTGTGTCTGTGTGTGTGTGTGTGTGTGTGTGTGTGCATGTCTGTGTGTGTGCGTGTCTGTGTGTGTGTGTGTGAGTGAGTGCATGTCTGTGTGTGTGTGCGTGTCTGTCTGTGTGTGTGTGGACCCACAGGAGGAAATCAGCTCTAATCACACACGACTGATAATGAATTTGACTACAACACACCGAACCATTGTTCAAACACGTGTATGACTCACTGTTCACAATCACACACACAGATAAAAGTCAAACTGGCTGATGAGGCTTTGACATCAGCAGCTCCCCCCCCACCCCCACCCCCCACACAGACATGCACTCACTCACTCACACACTCACACACACACAGACACAGACATGCACTCACTCACACTCACACACACACTCACACTCACACACACACACAGACACAGACATGCACTCACACACACTCACACACACACTCACTCACACACACACTCACACACACTCACACTCATTCACACACACACACACAGGCCAAGGGTGAGGTGGTCCATCTGCTCACAGTGCAGTCACCGTCCCACCAATCACACGCCGGCACGACACAATCACTGCACACACACACACACACGTGACGCCCGGATGCTGAACGCCGCTGCTCATGATGAAGATGAAGATGAAGATGAAGAAGACGAGTGATGCTGCAGATACTGAGCGATGATCATCGGCTCCTCAGCATCCTCCTCCTGCAGCGGACAGGGGATTGATTTGCTCTCGCTCTCGCTCCTGCTGTCTGTCATCACGCTCCGAACTCTGACGTCACGGACAGTACCCGCGTTCCGTCACTTCCGGCTGCTTCTCGACCCGCTTCCATCGCAGACGAGCAGCTTTGCTGCAGACCGAACTCTTCCGCGGCGCCCTCTACCGGACACTGCATGAGAATGAACGAGCCATCATCATCATTAATCAGCTCAGTGATGAAGAGACACTACTTGACTCATTTATCAGACTGCACTGTTCTGGCAATTAACATGAATTTAAAGGTGCGTCCCAAATCGCGTGCTTATGCACTATTCTATGACTTAGTCTTGTAGTATAAACAGTGCGAGTGCTGCATTCACACTGAAGAAGATTCCCAAAAGAAAAAGTGCACTTTAAACACCCGGATGATGCATGAGTGTGGAATGCTGGACACTTCATGCTCTCAACTACGTCACGAAGGGGGAGGGGCTATCAGACTCCGATTATGAATGACAAAATAAACTTATATAATTCATACACTACATGAGTAGTGCATAAGTACATAGTGTATGAGTGCGGCGTTTGGGACGCAGCTAATGTAAATAGTAATCGGGCTGAATAACACTAAATTAAATCAAGGAAACGCCTCAGACCGATAATGCAATTAGCTGGTTAGTGCACCAATGGACACTCTGTACCGCACACAAACTCTCACATGCTCTCAAACACTCTCGCTCTCTTCAAGTTTCTGATTTCACCCTGATCTTCAGTTACTCATAACTGCAGTGACGGGCATCAGCAGGTGATTCAGTGAACAAACCTTTTCTCTGGATCACAGATTTATACAGATATTGGGTTTCTTTTACCCTCTCCTCATAAAAAGCAGTAGCACAGTTTGTAAAAATAAATACTTAAGTATGAATGCTTCTGATGAACAAAGTGCACTTGTGTGAAAAGCTTCTGTGACCCATCACACACATTTTCACCAATTTATATATAATTTCTCTTTTCGTGAAATACTTCCTTGTTACGTCTTTTGATTCAGTTTATGTGTTGTCTTGAGTGGATTAATAAAACAGATTTAAGCAGTTGTGTTGTTCATGTTACAAACTCGTAACAAAAAGTGGGGGCTCGTCCGGGATTTAAACCCAGGACTTCTCTAAATATTTTAGAACTGAGAAAATTTGCAGTTGTAAAATGCTTTTTCTTACATTTTTACACATTTCATAACTATGGGAAACCTAAAAAGGGTCACGTGAGAATCTCTTGCTGGGAAAATGTGAGATTTTAAATGATGTAAAGGTACAAAAAAAATAAAACAGCCATAGAATGTTAAACTGATTTATTGCTGCAACACAACACCCAAAAACAGAATTTCAGAAGCAACCGGATCTTGGAGTGACGCCGCAGATGCCTCAGAGGTTTCATTCTGATTGGTCTCCGAGTGAATATTTGACTTGTGTAGTTTAATGCAGCCCGTAATAAACATCTAGTCTGTTTTCCTTCGACTCGTTATGACCTGCAGCGCCTCTGAGAAGCTCAAGTATCTGTGAAGTATTTTTAGGTTTGGCAGGGCGATGCAAAAAACCCAATACCTGTTTTCACAATGTGATACCAGGAGCACAAACTTAAACTCTGGACAACCTTGCTGTTACCAGGATGGGCTGATAAATCTTCAAGCACAATTAAAATTTCACCTTTTGAGGATGATTGGCACCTGCGAGTAGATGCAACGCGCCTCACTGCATTCTGCAGCTCTCGCAGAAAATGGGACGCCGCGTCAGGCTATTTACAGATAATGCTGAGCAAGAGAAGGTTCCCACAGCTGAAATGACATGAAGAGAGCAACCCGTTCGCCTGTAAAGCACCTCTGATTAATGCAACCTGCAACAAAAAATGGAAATGATGGAAATAATGGATCCAGAGAGCCAGATGACAGCACTGCGTTTGTAAAAATAAATACTTAAGTATGAATGCTTCTGATGAACAAAGTGCACTTGTGTGAAAAGCTTCTGTGACCCATCACACACATTTTCACCAATTTATATATAATTTCTCTTTTCGTGAAATACTTCCTTGTTACGTCTTTTGATTCAGTTTATGTGTTGTCTTGAGTGGATTAATAAAACAGATTTAAGCAGTTGTGTTGTTCATGTTACAAACTCGTAACAAAAAGTGGGGGCTCGTCCGGGATTTAAACCCAGGACTTCTCTAAATATTTTAGAACTGAGAAAATTTGCAGTTGTAAAATGCTTTTTCTTACATTTTTACACATTTCATAACTATGGGAAACCTAAAAAGGGTCACGTGAGAATCTCTTGCTGGGAAAATGTGAGATTTTAAATGATGTAAAGGTACAAAAAAAATAAAACAGCCATAGAATGTTAAACTGATTTATTGCTGCAACACAACACCCAAAAACAGAATTTCAGAAGCAACCGGATCTTGGAGTGACGCCGCAGATGCCTCAGAGGTTTCATTCTGATTGGTCTCCGAGTGAATATTTGACTTGTGTAGTTTAATGCAGCCCGTAATAAACATCTAGTCTGTTTTCCTTCGACTCGTTATGACCTGCAGCGCCTCTGAGAAGCTCAAGTATCTGTGAAGTATTTTTAGGTTTGGCAGGGCGATGCAAAAAACCCAATACCTGTTTTCACAATGTGATACCAGGAGCACAAACTTAAACTCTGGACAACCTTGCTGTTACCAGGATGGGCTGATAAATCTTCAAGCACAATTAAAATTTCACCTTTTGAGGATGATTGGCACCTGCGAGTAGATGCAACGCGCCTCACTGCATTCTGCAGCTCTCGCAGAAAATGGGACGCCGCGTCAGGCTATTTACAGATAATGCTGAGCAAGAGAAAGTTCCCACAGCTGAAATGACATGAAGAGAGCAACCCGTTCGCCTGTAAAGCGCTAGCCTAAAGCCTTGGCGTTTCTCTACTCAGACCTGTACGCAGACGCCATCGGTACCAGAAAGAAGCAGGACGAAGACGTCGAGAGCGTGACCTCCGAGAAATCCTTCCACAGTCAAGCGTCCGACTCTGAGGACAGAGGCTATCTGGAGAAGTTTGTGCTCAAGGCTGAGACTCTGGCTGACGTTGTTCCTGAGACAAGCCCAGAGGAACGGCATGATCCTTTCAGACCCGCCGGGTACGTGGCACACCACAAAGAAGAAGTGGACAATCAGGCAGAAGAGCAGGAAGAGATCACGGATTTCTTTAGGAACAGTGCATCTTCATCGCCCTGTGAACCTGTCAACTTCGAGCAGCTGGAGAAAGAGGAAAAGATCGAAGCTGTCAGGACACCTCAGGTCACTTTCAAAGATGAAGTGCCAAAGAATAAGCCCTCTCATCTACCGTTGGCTGACGACACGGATTTTTCAGATGAGTTTTTACCAGTTGAAATAAGCGAGGATTGTCTGGCGTGGGAGGAAAACTTGCAGACGGTTGTCAGAGCTGCGGTAAAATCAACTTCAACACGCACAAATGAACTAAGACAAAAAACAAAGTCTGTAAGCGATAAAAGCTCTCCAGCACCAATCCAAGCCCAAAACACAGTCAGACCCATAATTCCACACCACAAACCCTTCCTGGATCTGAGCCCGCTGCTGTGCGTCCAGACCGAGGACGAGACCGAAACAACAGAGGTAGAGAACACAAGCGCTGATGCCTCATTCAGCACCAAAGCAGCAGCAGAGGTCAGCAATCAGGACTGTACGATCCCCGGAGAACTTCCCGACGTGACAGACTCCAGAGGACAGAGCCGTGATGATAGAAATCTCACAAATCTGCTGCATGAGGACGCTGCTGAAGCTCCAGCTGCTTCGAGCAAGTCTGATTGGCATCTGAGCCTTGCTGATTCGCTGGCTTGACAATGAGTGATCCGTAAGCATCTGCGTCCATCCTTCAACAAAACAGAAAACGAGCAGAACATTATCAGGAGTCTCTATGTCTGTCGTGATGCATCTGAGAGATTCAAATGGAAAAACAGATAAATATGGTAGGCAGTTCCTGTACAGTATACGGCTGTAGAAGCCTATGATCTGTGTTTGTGAGAGTGTATGTACAGATTACAACTTAGCCTACCTCAATAGCTGAAAACTAGTAAATGACTTAAAAAAGGTATAATGTATCTGTGCTTAAATGATGTACATATGGTTATAATAGTCACTTCTCTGAGTAAAACCATGCAGTCAGTGATGCTGCTCAAGCTTCAGCATATATACATATGTACTTCATTTAAAAATAATCAGTTACAAACACGCGTAAACATTTGCGAATACAATGAATAAAGTATAAATTATTTACTGTTGACATGGTGAATGTGCTGAACTGTCTAAATGTTTCTAAATGTCTTTTTCGTTAGAGACCCAAACTATGCATCAACCAAAAATCAAAATCAATTATTTTCTGAAGCACACGGTAAAGTTCTTGTCTGGATCTTGAGACACCTCACCAGGGGCCCCTGGGCTACAGCATTACGATAGGCCCCCTACCCTAGATATTGTTTTATTTTTATAAATTTTTTTAGTTTCCTGACAATTATGTCGAATTTCTCTTGTTGACATGCCAGTTAACATTTACAACACTGTTCTGCTTAAAATATGAATACAAGTGAATATGCAAATTCACTCTTTGCCAGAAGGTGGCGCTTGTGGAGCAGCAGAATTATAGCCTTCATTTAAAGTAAACACTAGGCTATTACAGGCATTATACAGAGGTAATATGAATTCATTGTGCATTCGGTGGAACATATCAACTATACAAACTGTGTGGGGGAAACCTAAACCGAACCATTCACTTCATATACTACAAGCAGGGCGTCGCTGAAAATGAGTGTCCGAGTTTGTTTGTACAGAATGCTGTTGTCATGGTTGCAAACTCCCATATATATAAATAATTAATAGAAAAATATAATTTATCTGCAGCCAGTAGGCCCCTCCCAAGTGTGTAAAAATTAAACCTTAAACCTTTAAGAAAGTTAATGATATTATTATTTGTCATTAAAGGCACAATATGTAAGATTTTTTTATGAAAATATCCAAAAAACACTAGAACAGTGTTATATATTTTACTGACTTGTGTACTTACATTATCCCAAATGTTTTGAAGAATGTTTAAATCCAGAGAAATAAGCCATTTTAACTAGAAGCGCGGAGCGTGTCTACAGTGTCATTGTGTCGCCTGCCAATGACGTCATAACCCCTCGGTTTCCGGTTTTGTTTTGTAGAAAACATGGAAACACCAAAGATGCTTTAATATGTTGTGTTTTAATATGGGCTTACATTTCTGCCACAATTCTGCGCACGAAAGATCATATTTTGAGCGCACAAAAGTGCATTTTGCACGCACGCGCGATCTGAGTTTGTGGAGAAAATTTTCGTTTCGCAAAGAAAAAAGTCTTTAGAGTGCATGGAAATCAATTTTGCATTTAAAATACGTTTTTGGATGTGTGCTGACCTTCTCTTTTGCACGTGCAACGTTCCACTAGCTTGCTCACCTGATGCCCCCCTCAGTGCTCGCAAAATGCCAACAGCTCGTGTGCTCAACACAACCCAGCGTTACAATGTGCCATAATTCCAGCCAATCAGAGACAGAGGCTGCTAAATTCTGATTGGCTGCCTTGACAACCAGTCACAACATTTCTTGCATTACCTCGACAGCAGAAGGGGACAAATACAGTGCATGCATAATTATTATGCAAGTTGATATTCTGATTATATTTTTTTCCAAGCACATTTTACCAATTCCAAACGACATCAATCTTAATAACTATTATTAATCTTGTATTTAATCATTTATAATTGATATACAATTATTCATGAAAGCTGAAGGCTGAAGTGAAAAATTTATTATATTCAGGTGTGCATAATTATTAAGCAGATTTTCTTTTACAGATAAAATGAGCCAAAAAAGACATTTATGCCATATGCTGTGGCATAATAAAAGCCCCGCTGCTTTACCCCACACACGCACGACCGGAAGCAGCGGAAGCGCTCGACTGTGGCATAATAAAAGCCCCGCTGCTTTACCCCACATACGATTTCTGCCCGAGTCCCGTCGGATTGAAAACGCTAGTCAGTGAGTCTTACCTGCGGTCCAGAACCTGATGCGGAGTCCGGATCCGGATCGGATTCAGTTCCGCCGTCTTCACGTCACATGATCCATGACGTCACAAATCAACTGCATTTGTTTTTTAACAGATGCCTTCATACACACAAGAAAACCCCCTCGTCTAACATTTCACCTCAAAGATTCTGCTAGTAAAAGCTTTCAACCTTTAAAATAAGTTTGTAAATAAGAAAAACAAGTTGAGACCAGTAACTCCCTATAAAACTGTTCTTTGCATGCAAACATTTTTTTTCAATAAAATAAAAATGATCATAATAAGCATAAAATAAATGAGTTCTTCAGTGAAGTCACTTTGGCTGAAATCTGAGTTTCGCAATATTCTGTATTTGATGATTTTATAGTGGTAAGAGTTCAAGAAACATCCTAAGAGACCGCAGAAGTGAATAACAGGCCTCTTTTACAAAGCAATGATCTTTCAACAGCAGACAAAGCACAGATATTGAAATATCAAAATATCTAAAACTGTTCCAACACCAGGAGTCTGTGTTTAAATTCAGAATGTAAAGATACTCACATATACAGCTGTGACACTGACTTAAAAACACACCTGATGAGCCGAGATAATATAATGACAATCATCATCGTCCGTGAGAAATAACGACTGGAACAGAGTGTTGGACAACTGTTATTATTATTAATAATAATCTCTCTTTACACCCAGTGTTGTGTGGACATCTTACTTCAGTACATCATGGTTTTATTGCAGTTCAGAATCGTGTAGAAAACCAAGCGCCTCGTTAAACAGCACAGACCTGCAGATAACCCATCATCATCATCATCGTCATCGTTCCAGGAGATACACATCTGATCCCGCTGCCAGTCGATCACGTTCATCATGAGATTGCAAATAAAAAGTGAATATGATTAAAAATACAACATAAGAATGATGAGCTCCCCAAAAGAGAATGGCTTTAATGACAGATGTGTGATTGAGTTCTGCCGGGACCTCGAGAGACTTCCAACCGGGAGTGTTTACAGTGATGCCATGAAAACATCCAGACGAGAACTTCCTTCCAAACGTGAACAGAGGAGTCTTGAGAAGATTCAGTCAAGCTTATATGTCCATCTCTCTGCCTCGAGACAAATAATCACGGTTGTTCCTTATAAAGACACGAGCAGAACGTCCTCACACACACACACATACATACACACATACATATATATATATATATATATATATATATATATATACATATACATACACATATACACACACACACATATACACACACACACACACACACACACACTCGTGAGCTCACTGTAGTGTGACGTGACAGACGTGTGTTGTAGGAGAGCAGCATAACGTCTTCCTCGTGAACACACAGGTGTTTCTGTGCCGTCAGCGGCAGTGAAGAACATCACGCAGATGATGACCGGCGCTCCTTTACCTGCTGGTGTCCATCGGATCCTCCTTGAAGTTCTCACACTGCTCCATCACTTTACTGCACACACACACACACACACACACACACACACACTACGTCAGACCAGACCAGAACTGCTTCTCTAGGTGTAAAACTGAATGATTACATGAAGACTTTTGAACTGTTCAAACGACTCCCGAATCAGTGTCAGACTCATCACGCACTGGGTTATGAAAGCTTATGCCTCCCTTTATGTTTTTATCAGTGTAATTATGACAGTTTGTGAAAACTGTGTTTTAATGACAATGTGTACTTTGTGTAAAGTCATTACCAAAACTTTAACCCGATAGCTACTGTATCATATGACAGTGAGTGAGTGAGTGTGTGTGTGTGTGTGTGTGTGTGTGTGTGTGTGTGTGTGTGTGAGTGAGTGAGTGAGTGAGTGAGTGAGTGAGTGAGT